GATATACTCCTAAGTGAAATAAATAAGTCACACATGTGTAAATACCGAATAGTTTCTCTGGTGTGAATAAACTGTAATAGTACATAAGATCCTAATGAGATAACTGACATTGTGAAATGGAAAGAAAAGGGCTAAAGGTGTAGGAAAGGTGGGATGGGTAGAGGAAGGGTAATAAGAGAAAACAAAAAAAAATGCGAGAAAATGAAAAGATGGAAATAAAGTGTTTGTAAATGGGGATGGGAGCAGAGGGTGAAGGGAAGGCAGGGACAAGGGGAAAAATGAGAACCAAGACCTGTCATGTAGAGGTACGAGATCCCATCAGTGGATGTAACTGTACTATATCCCTAAAATGTACCAACAAACTCAATTAAAAAAAAGAAATCAAACAATGCAGTGTTCTGACAAAGTTGTGGGAAAAAAGCAAACCCTTCTCACTTGTTTCTGGAAGTGTAAATTGGGATAATTACTATGAAAATCGGTATGAGGTTTTCTTTAAAAATAATAGAAACAAAAGATTCTATTTGACCTAGCTATTCCAATTCCAGGTATTGTCATCCTACCACAGTGAAAACTTCATATCCATGTTAATTGCAGCACAATTTAAAATAGCTGGATCTTGGAAACAGACCAGATGGCCATCATGAGATAAATGGTTAAGGAAAATATATTTATATCTAACGGAATACTGCTGTGCCATAAAGAATAAACTTGAGATATATTCAGGCAAATAGATGCACCTTAAATAGACAATCTTAAACAAATCAAGCAGACGTTTAAATATCATATTGTTCCTCTTTTGTGAGAAACCTAAAGTATAAATAAAGAGCAGAAATTGAGGATAGATATTAGGAATTAGGAAGAACTTGTTCAAATGGGAAAGGAATAAGAGATGGGGGAGGGGGAGAATCGCAAGAGAAATGGGATTTAAATAAAAATATTGAAGGAAAAATTAAAGTAGACTTTTTTCTCTTTCTTTTCTTTCTTTCTTTCTTTCTTTCTTTCTTTCTTTCTTTCTTTCTTTCTTTCTTTCTTTCTTTCTTTCTTTCTTTCTTCACACAGGGATTGTTGAACTCAGTACCTTATATTTGTGAGGCAGGCATGATGCCATGAACTAAATCCCTGGCCCAAGAAGTAGACATTTTTAAAATAGAGAAGTGCCAGTGCCTGTCTTGTAAGCTCAATGACCTGAGTTCAATCCCCAGTTCCAAAAATCAAACAAACAAATAAAATAGAGAAGTGAAGAAGGATTGGAGGGAAGGGAGGAGAATGGGATCAAAAAAGAATTAAAATATATTACGTATATGTACTGATCCCCCATGATGAATGTGATCATTATATACTGTAAACATGGATCAATAAAAATAAAATAAAATTATTAATATACACTATCCATACTGTTGTAATGAGTGGACAGTAATTCCTATTTCTTATGAACAATTATACCAGATTTGTTGTAATTTGATAAATTTTATGGATTTCTGATGCAATTAATTTTCTTCTATCTGTTTTCTTTGATGCCTTTTCCCCTTTTCTTGTTGTATGTTCTTCTGTATATTATTTGCTTATGTCATGTGGTTATAGTGTGATAAGGATACTCTTTAAAAGAAGATCTATTTTTCTGTATAAAAAAAACCTGAATGTACAGTAGAATTTATTACACATTGGGAAGTACAGAAGGGAAAGATGGATAAAGAGAGGCTGAAATTTATCAAATAACATTGCAGGTACATATTGAAATATCACACTGAACCCCATTCTTATGTACAATTAATGCACATTACTCAAAATAGAATTTAATTTTAAAACTATATTATTAAGACCATAACACATAAGGCTGCTGATTTAGCTGAGTGATTCTGCACCCTGATTCATAAGGGCAAGGTCCCAAGTTCAATCCCCAGCACCAAAAAAAAAAGAAAAAGAAAAAGAAAATAACACAGAAGGACTTTACAAAGCACCACTACACATAGCATCCAAATGCAAATCAATTGGTGATTTAATAAATAAAATATGTAGTAATATTGTGAAATAGTACTTAGCCTCAAAAAGGAATGCAGTTTTAACACATAATAAACATGGATAAATCTCAAATGATTATGCAAAGGGAAATAGAACAATAATAAAATATAACAAAATTTATGATCTGGTTTGCATGAAGGGTCCAGAGTTAGTCAATCTATATAAACAAAACATAGGGCCGGGGATTTAGCTCAGCAGTTCGGTGGCCTGCCTTGCAAGTGCAAGGACCCGAGTTCAATCCCTGGTACAAAAAAAAAAAAAAAAAAAAAATAAAAAAAAAAAAAAAAAAAAAAAAAGAAGAAGAAACAAAACATAGCTCACTGCTTGCTTACAGGAAGACTAGGAGATTGAAGAGTGATATCTAATAAACGTGAAATTTATTTTATGGACAGTTGTGAAAATGACAGTATATGATCAAAATTATGATAATACACACCTTTGTGAATATATAAAAATCAATTGACATGTGCATTGTAAATGAACAAATCTCATTCTATATTTGTTATTAAAAATCAGTGACATTAGCATAAAAATATATGGTTCAATCTTTTTTCATGTTACAATCTTCAGATATTGTATAAACAATCTAATTGTTATTAAATGTAAATGATTAAGGAAATGTTATGACCTCTTGCTCTGAATTAGTATCATAATTAAAAGTAAGAAAATAATGATATTTCTACCCATTTACTATTAATTTGAATTTTATACTTCAGGGCCATTTTATAAATCAGATTTCATGTTGTCACTCTTATCCTCTTTGAATTTATTGGTACTTTTTAGGTATAAAGTATATTTACAGTCATCATTGGGAACTCGTACCTTTACATGACAGGTCTGGGTTCTCATTTTTCCCCATACCCCTGCCCTCCCTTCACACCCCCTCCATCCTCCATTTGCAAAATATTTTTTCCATTTTTTCATTGCTCATATTTTTTATTTTCCCTTATTTCCTTTCCACTACCCTTCCCAGGTCCCCTACAACTTTAGTCCTTTGCTTCCTATTTCACATTGTTAATTATACCATTTGAGCCTTATTTACCCTTTTGGTTTTCACACCAGAGAAACTTTTTGGTATTTACACATATGTGACTTATTTATTTCACTTAAGAGTATGACTTCAATATGCATCCATTTTCCTATGAGTGACTCTAATTTCTCAATCTTTATGGCTGAGTAGTACTTCATTTAATTGAAAAACCACAACTTCCTTATCCAGTCTCCAAGTGATGGGCAATTGGGCTGTTTCCAAGTTTTAGCTATTACAAACTGTGCTGCTATGAACATGGGTGTGCATATATATTTGTGATATGATTCTTTTAAGTCTTTTGGAAAGATACCCAGCAGAGGGATGGCTGGGTCAAATGGAACCTCTAGTCCCAGCTCTTTGAGGTATCTCCATATTGATTTCCATAGTGGTTGCACCACTCTGCACTTCCACTGACAATGGAGAAGCATTCCTTTCTCCCCACAACCCTGCCAATATGTGTTATTTTTTGATTTCTTGATAGCAGCCATTCTTTGTGGGGTGAGTTTAAATCTCAGTGTTTTCATCTGCATCTCTAGAACGACCAGTGATGTGGAACATTTTTTCATACTTTTATTTGCTGCTTTTACTTCTTTGTCTGAGAAATGTCTGTTCATTTCAGATGCCCATTTTTGAATCAGGTCTTTATATTTGGGGGGGCTGACTGTTTTGTATTCTTTATATTTTCTAGATAATACTCCTTTGTCTGAGGAGCAGCTGGTAAAATTTTTTCCCATATTGTAGGTTGCCTCTTAGTTCTGTTGATGGTTTATTTTTCAGTGCAGAAGCTTTTTAATAAGATGAGATCCCAGTTGTTGATTCTTTGTGCTAGTTTCCATGCTATTGAGGATTTGTCCATAAAGTCATTTCCTTTGCCAATGTCTTCAATAATTATGCCTAACTTATCTTTCCACAAATTTAGTGTCTCTTTTATAATATTTAGTTCTTTAAACCACTTGGATTTTAATTTAGTGCATGGTGAAAGATAAGGGTCTATTTTTAATATTTGGCAGGTTGAAATCCAGTTTTTCCAACACCATTTATTAAAGAGGCTATCTTTCCTCCACTGAGGATTGTTGGTAGCTAAGTACATCTGGAGCTGTTTCTGTATCCTTCATTCTATTCCACTCATCCTCGGGTCTGTTTCTTTACCCATACTGTGCTATTTTTATCACAGTGGCTTTGTAGTATAGTTTCAAATTGGAAATTGTTATACCCACTGCCATGTCTCTGTTGCCTAGGATAGGTTTTGCTCTTCTAGGTCTCTTCTGGTTCCAAATGAATTTTTTGGATTCTTTTTTCTAGTTCTGTGAAATATACTGTTGGAATTTCAGTTGGAATTGCATTGAATCTGTATAGCAGTTTTGCAAATAAGGATGGGAGTGGGGGAAATGTAATTAAGGGCAAAATGAGAAAAGAAGGAAAAAAAACCTATCTTATCACATGTGAACAGGAAAAGGAAAATTCACAGGAGAAAGGCAAATAGATAAAATTATGTTTTTCCCCAGAAACCTCTCAGGGAGAATCTTACCCTAGACCTTGATAACTGGGATTGCTTAATCATCTTATATGGGAAGCTAAATGCTCTCAGTATCTGGCATATAGCATATGGAAATTTATTTTACAGAGTTCTTCTTGATCACTTCATGTTCTTTTCCATGCCCATCTTCCCCTCAGTGCAGAAAAATTTTATCAAATTCACACCAGATTAAGTTTCCTAAATCATTAAAATGTTGGTGCATAGTAACTCCTCCACAAGGAATGAGCTCTGCCTCTGAATGCACATACCTATGTGATTATAATATCATAACATTTCACAAAATGATCTCTGTAAATATTTTACTATTTTCCTTGTTTTTGTTTATACCTATGACCATAATGAGTGACTCACAATTGAAACTGAATGAAAAACCTAAGAAAAGAAAAAAGAGAATAAAGAAAAGAGTGAACGCACCTTTCCATCAAGTCCCTTTGTGGACATCATTTTTATCCATAACTGAAAAGAATATTTCATTTGTTTCAGTTTAACATGTTGAACTGAGGCTCCAAGGACCGTTTCAAGGTGAACCACAACCTTACAAAAGAAAATTATGAAAATATACAAATTTGATGAGAAAAAGATATAACTGGAGAGTAGCATAACCAATGTAGTGGGCTAGGAATTTGCAAGCCCTCCTTCCATTATAAGAACACCCAAACAACAAATTATAGATACAAGTAGCTTTGTGAAAACTACATAATAATTTTAGAAGCTATACTAACCAGTTAAATGATTATAAAATAAAACCTTTCTTCAAATGCTAGGTAATTTTATAGCATTTTTGTTCACTGTCATAGTTTTTTTCCTTGCTGAGACAAAATACCTGGCATCTACAAGTTAAAGGAGGAAGGGTTTATCTCATCTAACTGTTTGTTGTAAAGGTTTCTGTCTATAGTCCACTAGTTCTAAGGCAAGGTGGCATGGCGAAAGGGCACTGTAGAGGTGAAGTAATTCATGACAAAGTAGCAAGTAGCACCTACTTTCTTTCTGTCCCTTTATATTGCATCCATGAAAAAAGCCTATTGATTGGTGGAAGCCACATTCAGAGTGGGGCTTCCCATTATCAGCATCTAGAATTATGATAATAAATTAAGGTAATAATCTAAAAACTCTGAATCCAAGTATCAAACTTTTAATCTACATTCATATACCCTAAATCCAGCCATCTCCTAAAAGCTTCATGTATGACTGTATGAGGCTTTTGGGGAACATTTTGATACAGAATTTTTCACCCTTGTGTTTCAAAGGACTCATGTACATCCCTTTATGCAAAAGACATTTAGTTCATCTCTATGAGTTGCAAAAGTCCTAACAGTTTCAGCATTGCTGAAAAATCCAAGTACAAAATCTTCTCTGAGAATTAAGACAAACTCTTAATTATGAGCCTTTCTACAAATAAAAATAAAATTAAACACTTCCAATATACAATTTTACAAGATACTCATTTCTAATCAAAAAGGTACAAATAGTGGAATAGAAAAAATGGAACCTGAGCAAGTCTAAAATCCAGCAGAATAAGCATTAATTCTTCTAGCTCCATGTCTCATATTCAAGGTAATCTGTGGTAAGATGTGAACTTCAAATGGCTTCAGTGGTCTGCCACTGTAGCACTGCTGTTGATTATTGCCTTTATGGATTCCCTCTTGGGATAACTTTGCTCACTCCTTGCAGCTTTTCTCAGACAATCCACATTTCTGGCTTCTCCAAACCTCCAAGTCTCCACTGTACTTTTGGCTTCACATTCACAGGTTCACACCCTGCCATCTCAGGGGCACACTACTTGGTCTCCAAGGGACTCTTCTGCATTCTGGTTGAAATCTTCTTGACACTAAAACTTTTGCATTCTTCATACACCTAAAATGAGCACCACATAGATTATGCCAAGGTCTGCTGTTATCTACGGCAGTGGCTAGGCTTCCATCTCTCTTGGTTGTAGAGGCTGAATACCTTAGAAGCAAATCCCTAATAACAACTTCCATAGGTCACTGCTATTCTATAACATGGAACTATGTGCCTTTCTTTTCATCATTGTCCTTCAGCATTGCAATTTTGAGGCTGGAAAAAGTGTAGCCCTCCTGTTTCTTTTGATATCCTCAAGCCATCTTTTCTATTGTCTGGTTCCTTTTCAGCAACAAAGTTTTCCTCTGTTCAATCTTCGCAAGACACAACTTCACCAGAGCTTCCCTTCTGGCAGAACTCAAAAGTATTTTGAATAATTCTGTTGGGCAGTTTGCTCTTGATTCTCAGCAGAGATCTAGCTAAAAGCCCCTGACAGTAGACATACCATTGCCACAACATTAGAATGCCTTGAAATTTATTCCACAGTTTAATTAATACACTTTCCATAATCTCAATCTCAAGCAGTCTCTGGACAAGAGCAAAAGGCAACAAAATTTCTGCCAAAGCATAGCACTCTGGTATGGGGTCCAATTCAGTCCTTCATCCCGTTTGAAATTTCCTCAGCCTGGTCTTTACTAGCAGCATTCATATCAGATTCTGGTCTTCTGAGCGCTGACCAGAATCTCCCATTTAGTTCCGTTTACAGTACTCCAGGGATGCTTTTTCAACCAGCATCACCAATCCTTTCTAAATTATCCCTGCAAGCAAATTTCAATGGCTTATGAATGACATGGTCAGTTGTGTCAGAGCCATGGCCACATGCTCAGTACTAAAATTGGTCTTAGTACTTTACTCTTTGCTGAGATGGAATACCCAGCACCCACAATTTAAAGGAAGAAACATTTATTTCAGTTAATATTTTGTGGAGGTTTTAATACATAGCCTGCTGGTCCTAAGGCAGGGTGGCATGACAGAAAGGCATCACAGAGGAACCAAATCAGGCAGGACACAGTGAAGCAGCAATTAGCATCATGTCTTCTTTGTATCCCTTTATATTCCATCCAGGAAACAAGCCTATTTATTGGTACCAAACAGACCCGGGATGGGGCTTCCTATTATCTACACCCAGAATATTGACAAACCAATTAGTGGGCTAATCCACATACACTTAATCCCAGTATCACACTTTTAATTAATGTTCACACACTTTAGGTTCAGCTACCTTCAAAAAGCCCTACTCATGACTACATGAAGATTTGGGTGCCATCAAAATACAAGCCATAACACTCATCCTACTCTTTCATTTTCTTTGGCACAGTGGAAAACACTTGAATGTAAAGCAGGCCAGTTATTGGTTTATTCTTTAAAATAAAAGCAAAATCCCAGAACTTTCTTGAAAATTTTCCAATTTTACTGAGGGTAGAAAAAGAGATTGGCTTCCATCTCATCTGACTTGGAGTACAGATTGGAATGATGACAGAATTTAAATATTAAGGTTTAAACATTTTTATTTATATCAGTAGATGTTTGTAGTACTCGATTACATTCTTGTGAGGAGCTGTTAAATGTACATAACATGTTTATTTCTTTTTATTCCCATTCTCATCCCCTTCTTCCCCTCTCCCTTCATCTTTTTGTTGTCTTTACATTTGTAAAAGGTCTATCACCCTCTTCAATATTATCTATCTTTTACTTTGCTTTTTACTTTATTCTTTGAGTTTCTCATATAAGAGAAATTGCAATGTGTAAGCTTGTGTGTCTGACTTATTTTATTTAATATTATAGTGTCAATGTGCAACCGCTTTCTTGCAGATAAATCAAATTTCTCCTGCCTTATATCACAATAGCATCATCTATTGTGTATAAATACTGTATGTTATTTATGTTTTTATCTATTGATGGGTATCACTTCAAAGCTTTCTCTAATATGAGTTGTGCTGCTATAAACATGTGTATGTATATAACATTTAATTGTTGTCTTTAGATCTTTAAAGAATATACATGTAGATGAATAGGTGGGTAAAATGGAATTCTTAGTTTTAGTTTGAATGAATCTAAGTTCTCATTTTTATGGCTGAGTAGTATTCCATTTTATAGAAAAACCACATCTTCTTTATCCAGTCTCTAGTTGATGGGCAAAAGGGCTGTTTCCAAGTTTTAGCTATTACAAACTGTGCCTCTATAAACATAGGTGTGTATATATCACTGTGATATGATTATTTTAATTCTTTTGGAAAGATGCCCAGCAGAAGGATGGCTGGGTCAAATGGAACCTCTAGTCCCAGCTCTTTGAGTTATCTCCATATTGATTTCCATAGTGGTTGCACCAGTCTGCACTCCCACGAACAAGGGAGAAGGGTTTCTTTCTCCTCACAACCCCACCAACATTTGTTACTGGTTGATTTCTTGATAGCAGCCTTTCTTTGTGGGGTGAGGTGGAAACTCAGGGTTGTTTTCATCAGCATCTCTAGAATGACCAGTGATGTGGAACATTTTTTCATATATTTACTTGGTGCTTTTACTTCTTTGTCTGAGAAATGTCTGTTCATTTCAGATGCCCATATTTGAATCGGGTCTTTATATTGGGGGGGTTATTATTTTGAATTCTTTATATATTCTAGATAATAGTCCTTTGTCTGAGGAGCAGCTGGTAAAAAATTTGTCCCACATTGTAGGTTGTCTCTTAGTTCTGTTGATGGTTTCTTTTGCCATGCAGAAGCTTTTAATAAGATGAGATCCCAGTTGTTGATTCTTTCTGCTAGTTCCTGTGCTCCTGAGGATATTGTGAGCTTTTATATGGCTACATCTTTTTACTTGGGCCACACCTCAGCTGTAAACCTAAGCCCATTAGAGATTATCTCCCTGTTCTACAACATGTCCAAAAAGACATAGGACAAATTGATACCATTCTACTCCCTTTTCCTGACACCCAACCTCATGAAGATGGCCTGGCTAATAAATGCACTTTAATAAAAAATTTAAATCCCCAGTTCCTAAAACCTAAGAAGACAAGACCCTTCCTGTATTTGTCTCAAATGAATATGCCCAACCAACAACTTGCCTGAACCCCTCCTTTTGGAAATCACAAAAAAACTCCTCTACTTTGACCTGGCTGACCCAGATTCCAGAAGACATATAAATGCCTTGCATTTGTGTTTCTTGCAATTTCACCCACTTCTTTCATTCAGTCTGCTTTAATCTTATTTGGTCTCATCCTCATATTTCTTACTGCAAAACCTATCTTAACTGTATATTGCTTTTATCAGGGTACTCTAACACTTCCTGAGAAGAGACAAAATTATTACTTTTTCCTTCTCTGGACAGCTCCTCCACAAAACTTTACAGTTAACTCTTTCCCTGATAAATGGATATCATACCTCCTCAGACCTCTCTCACAGGATTGCATTCAGGATGTTGATCTGGCCACTCCTTGAGATTTTTCTCCCGTCTAGTCTTGTAGCATGTGAAGCAGGCATGAGAAGCTCTGCCCATTTTACTATCCCCTTCCATATATAAAAATAAAAAAAATTGGAGTGTCTTGTCTGGCCTGAATGAGACCTTTGCAAGCAAATAGGCTGATCTCAGCAAAAAACAATCTATTCTCAGTAAACAGAGAAGGCAGCCATAAAGAAAATTTAAGATGGAGGATACAGTCTCCTGGCATCAAGAAGTCCAGCGATTGCACACCTGTGCTG